AAAAGAGAAAGTCCCTATAAAATATCACATTGTACTTTATTTGCAACATTAGTGAACACAAATTGTCACAGGGGGTTTGATAGTTGTTACAAGTAAGAAACCCTTACTTGAGATCTCCATCAGTGACAGTGTCTCCCAATCCTCCAATGTAGAGGGTGGAGATGGACTTGTCGTCTGGTGGGTCAAGACGCGGCATAGTCGAGGCCCGTTTCAGCAGCTTGTCAGCCACAGGGTCATTGATGCCGTAGTAACGGTCCTTGATGTTCTGGTCGGCCAGAGGATCATCAGGATCGGTGGGCTTCTCGTGTCTTTGTGGAAAGGACAACCAGAATGAGAAAACTACAACAACAATATCTAAGAAAGTTACAGTTAACCATGACAATATTTGTTTTCAATGTTGCCTATTGTAATAAGCACTAATAAATGTATGTTGAATCTCATACATAAATATGAATTAAGATAAGAAAACTTTCTTGAAGCATCACTGACCTGTAGGGACATTCCTCCCCTCTCTTACACTCTCCTTTCACCCAGAAGGAACAGATGTGCGGTCTGTTCCTCTTGTAGTATGGCGTGGTCCTGGCCAGTTTCAGCAACATGTCACTAGAGCTGGGCGCTTTACCCAGCTGGCCCACTGGCCGTGTGCCATCAGAATTGGCTATCTAAGAACACAGAAGTTCAAGTAGACATTATTGATCAATTACAAAAATAAATTCCATCCCCAAATGTGGAAATAAAAATGTTAAACCCTAAAAGTGTATACTACAAATAATATCTATAAAAAGGAACCAGACTTAGGCGATACCTATTGCTTAGATATTTGAAATTGGGGACATCCTAGCAGCTGAGTTTTAGCCATTGTTGCTTTATGGAAATCAGAATAAATAAAACAACAAAGATGTTTTTGTCTGCATTGCACAGCAATTATACCTCTCTCTCCATGTTCTGTGTGTAGTACTCTTTGTTAACATCCGACTTAGGAACCTCATCTTTAACTGACAGCCCGGTGTCTCTGACCTGAATAGGCAAACCTGTAAAACACGAGGTGCGACAAGAGGGTTAATCTCATATAGCAACAATCTTAACCAAGTAATACAAAATATAAACAGGTCAAGTAAAAAATTACATGAGACTCACCAAACTCGAGGTCCAGCAGACATGTTTGACAAACATTCTTCATTTTACTGCAGGTCTGACAGACCTCAGTCTTCTTAAAACGCATCCGTGTCCCCGGGCACCATCGGAACACAGTGAACGGACGAGCACAAATCTAACGGGCATAGAATGAAAACATTTGTTTCATACATGTATTTAAAATTCTTACATGCAACAAAGTATTGAGTGATCATAGAACCAATATTTAAAATACTACGGGAAAACCTACCTTGCACTCTTTCCCATACTTCTCCTTGGTCTGTAAAACAAAGCATTAACACTTGAACCAGCAAAACACAGGTATCAAAACTACAAAAGGATGATGATACAAAGTAATGAAAACTCACCATGCGGATATATGGGTTTTCTCCTAAACATGTCTGACACAGAATTGGAAAATCCTGAAAAACAAGAGACAAACAGATTTCTATTTAGTTAATTTAAAATAACAAGCACCATTTATGTTATTCATCCAGCAGTCCCTTGTGTGTAATTGTTCTAAAGCAGAAACATAGGCTGTTTCACTTACTGCTGTAGTAACCTTAGCAATGTTGCACGAGTGAAAACCTATGGTGAAATCAGGGCAAGTGGACTCACTTCAACTTTACCACCTGTTGAAGGATGCTGTTTCAATCCAAGTGCTAGCTAGCTGTTGAAAAGGACCATCCCTAATCCACCATGAGAGAAGCAGCCAAACACCCAAATATAAGCAGCTCGTGTGTCTCAAGAGTCAACTACACAGGCTAGGGTTGCACAATTTATATTCTGGTGTCTTAATTAAACCAACATTGGCCAAATGCCCTGTTGTGTCATGGCTAAAGAGAGCACATTGATTTACTGCCTTATCTAGTAGGGATAAAGACCTTGGGATGCTTGATGCACCACACAGTACGATAAAGATTTAAGATTTGGTACATGTACATCTCCAATTTAGTTTACAGGCCAGGTTTTTGTCAATTAGTTGACCAGAATCGAGCGTTGTTAAAATATGAGAAATATTTTGTAAAGAACCGTTTGCAACCCCGAAAAAGTTATCTTTTTTTGTGTACCTGTCAAGGAAGCAAATCTGGTCCCCTCCAGTTAGCAGCTGCTAAGCTAACTGTACCTCGAGCTTTAGCTTTAAGATGATAGTTTACAATTGCTAAGCCAATGGAAAAACACATTTGTATGTATCGGATTGTCTGGGTTCCGCCTTACCCGGCTATACATTGACATGTAACTTGCTTAGTTGTTAGCGAGAACGTTAATTATGGAAACGTCGTTTTATTATTGTTAGCATAAGGTGCTAGTTGTCGCCTTCATTAGCTCAACTAGCTAGCTAACTAGCATTACCACAAAACATGTTACGGTCAAACTAACAAAGTTCTTGTTTTGAGTCAACTCTGGCCGATCTCTTATAATCCACAATTGTTCCGATTATGTTGTGATATTTTATGAATGATGTTTACACAGTAGATAGCAGAGACATGTTACGAAGGCAGCAGCCACGCTTCTACCAGCTAGCGTTAGCTAACGCTAGGCTAGCTGGCTATAAAGCAAACGGGACAGATTTGTGCCCAGTTAGTAGATTTTAGGGCGATGTTAATTATTTGAAATTAACTGTAAATTACTGTGTTTAAGTCACGCTCACTGTCCCGTACACTTTAATGACGATTACACATACCGCGTCTTCCCAGTTCTGTCTATTGTAGGTGTTGGATCCTAGAGACGTCGCCATTTTGCAGAGTGTGAGCCAAGCGGGAGGTGTCAGACCACAATGCACCGCGCCGGAGAGCCACGTTTCACCTTGGGGTGTCGCCCTATTTCAATAAACCGTCAGACATAGTCTAATCAGGAAAACTCTCCATAGCCATAACAAACAAATATAAATATTGTAAAGTAGAAATATCTTCCTGCACCAAAAGCATATCTGATATTGACAGTTTAGTTGTAAAGGTGTGTGCACGCGTGTATAACTTTGGCCAATCATTATGCTGTAGTAGTAGGTCTATCAATAGTAACTTTATCATTAATGCAATATCCCTATTTATTATGAGAAATATTTCTCACAGCCCCCTTTAATCTGGTGCAATGTCAAAATGCGGATGCTTCTTTGCAATGCAACAGCAATACATATTAAAATAATTAACACTAATAAGATAACACCCTAACTTTGCAAATTCAGAGTAGCCATGTATGTGAAATGAATAGGCTATAGGCCTACTTTCACTTTTGACACTTCAAGCAGGCTACATTTTGTTGATAATATTTCTTATTCTACTTGAATTGGATAAGAGTATGTTCACATCCTGGTATAGCAGGCTAAATTACTGTTGTGAGTAGCTTGCTTTTTTCCTGCTGCGATGGTATGGGTGAGTGAGAGAAAGAGACAGGCTGACTAGCTGGTGTGTGTGAGCTTCTCTAAGCCAATTGTGTAGTCCACTTACAGTTTATCTATCCACCTGTTCCAATTCAGGTCAGGGTGTCTTGGCTGTGTGAAACTCCAATTAGTGGGTCATAGGATTTTTAAGATTACGGATGGGCATTAAGCCCCTAATGTTTATTTAAGGTCATGGTGAGGTTGTGGAGGAGTCAAAGGATAGGGAATATAGTTTCAGGCATGAAAAGCTACTCTTCCGTAGTGCAGAGCCATTCAGGAGGTCAGAAAAGATAGTCTGCTAAACTTTTCTGTTACCTATAATATCTGAGTTAGATTCATAACCCTCACGGTACTTGCATTGTGCTCATGAGCAAGGTAACACTGATTAGCAATTAACTCATTGCTCCTGTGACCATATTTCCAGGGGTTAGGGGTTAAATGAAAAATATTTAGCCACATCCCCCTGTGTCCCTTGTATCTGGGGGGACGTTCTGTATCTTGCCCTGTCACTGAGGCAAGCCTTCAGCATCGCCTTCTTTGTCTTAATGAGACGTGTGACCCTATTCTATCATGTGGATGAGACAGCCAAAGCTGTTTTGCAGCATAGCTTTGACTTGGATCTAGCCACTCTGTAATGAAAATCACCAACCTCATGAGACCTGTCAGAGGACGTCTAGGTGCACCATTTCTTCACAACAGTCCCATTTTTTGAAGCTCAATTCATTACATTGTATTCTTAGTGTTATTGGTTGATATCATCCAATGTGGTAGGCCTGCACTGAAATTAGTTCTGCTTTTTGGACAATTTGTGTTAATTTATTAAAACATTTAGGCTATTTGTTGTCCTGAAACCATGTTTAACAGTTATGTTTGTTGTCCATTCATTGTAGGCTAGCAATAAGCAGTGCCTTATTCCCTTCAAAAACATATAAAAAGTATAGCATAGTGCCTTAAATTGTCAAAGCAGTAACCTACCTTTAGTAATATTAGGTCACTATATTATATTATAATATAATATATATATATTATATTTGTTATATAACACAAATAATTTGGGATGAATAAAGTATCTATCTATCTATGATATATCTATCAGTACCAATGAAATTGTAGTAGACATAATGAATACTTCAATTTGATGCATTACTGGAGATTATTCAATTAAAAAATCCACAGTTTTGCATAGGCGTTTGTCGTGTAATCTGCATGGTATGGTGACTGATCAAAAAATAATCTAGTCCCTGAGCTCCTGTTCCTAAGAAATAGGATTCATTAATGCCAAATTATCTTTTTGGTAGAGTATAGTAGTAAGATCACTTCATATAAACCCGTGCTTTAATATGATCGCACAGTGATTTCTTTGAGGAGTTGTGAAGACTGCCCATGCATGCGCATATCAGAGACAAAAAAATGTGCTGTGCTGGCGCCTCCTGTCGACAGTTATGAGCAGTGCCGGTGCACTGAGCTGCAGAAAGAGAGGGGCATTCTCAGATTTCTCGGTTTCTCCCAGCCGAGTCCGCGGTGCCGCTTCCACATCACGGCAGACTGCAAACCGAGACGACGACGACATAAACCGAGCGTGCTACAACCCAGCAGCCACCCCAAACGGACTGTGTTGTACCAAATCCTCCTAACCCAAAACAAGGTGAGTTCATCGACACAACGCCAGTCTCGTCGCCGTGTTTTCGCACATGTTTAGTAGCCTGCACGACCGAGAGCCCCGCCGCTCGGTCTCCCAGGCCAGGCTAGTGAACATTGTCTGGTGCACACGGAGAATGAGGCCAGTTTTTCGGCCTGACTCCCCCCCTGGCTGGTACATAAAGCCCCGGTGACATAGTAGTGGAGAGGCTCGGTGCAGCTTTTAGCTCGTCCGTCTGGCAGCAGAGAAAGGAGGCTAACGTTATTTTTGAAGAGGGTCTGGTCGAAGTTTGTGCACAGGATAGAGCTGTGTCCGGCTGCTCGGCTCTGTGATTTAATATTGGAATTCCTTTATCCAACCGGATACCGTAGTTTAGCCCGGTATCAGAGACAAGCGGGGAACTTGTTTGTGTAACTTTAGAGCTTGCTGAGATGTATCGAGTATTTTTCAAATGTTTTTCTCAAGTTAGCTTGAACAATTTGCCAACAATGATCAATTACTCCACAGACGTTGCAGTCTAATGTGTGTCTTGCAATGAAAAGGCCAAACGATTTTGTGTGCAAATTATAATTAAAGGTCGATAAGATTGTCTGCCACCTAATCTAATAGCTCTGCACATGACAGAGGTGGATAAAAGATTACCATGGGAATGCAACAGCCGCTTTAACGTTATCCAATTTGTCCAAATGATTTCTGGGAAGTTGACTTAATTATCAGCAGTGATATGATGCATCAGACTGACTATAGTGTAGCTACCTGTAGGAATCATCTGCAGGCGGATTATTACCAATATTGAACCTTTAAAAAAGATTTTCAAAACAATTTTTTCCCAACCATAAACACTGTTTTTTAGAGGGGAAAAAACAAAACAAAAAAAGACAATTCTACCTATGCAGTTGCTTAGGTCCAGTTGTACTATTCCTACAAGTAGTTTGGGATGCACTGTTGACAAAGATATACACCCATTTATTAGTGTTTTTTTTGTGATATTTTTGTTTGTTTGCATGTGGCACAGTGCCTGTTTAACAATGATGCAGTGTCCTTACATTAGATCCCTCTTCACTGCATGAGGCTGCTTTGTTTTGCTTGGTTGTGTATCTCCACAAAGAAGGCTGCATCTATTAAATACTATAAACATTTGACTCTGCTGTGTAGCAAAAAGGGGCAGTCCAGACCTGCCTGAAATCTGTTGCCTTGGGGTGTGTGCGCGTGCAAGCGTGCACCTATGTGAGTAAGAGATTACTAAAGGAGAATGAGTCACTCTCTAAATGTATTTGGCAAAGTCATAAGGACTTTCCCTGCATTTCGGCTCGGCTGCGGAAGACATTCTTGTAACTGAAAAGTGTTGTCCTTCTGGTTTTATAGATCATTAGATTCATTTGACCAATGCGTTACATTTTTGCTATACCCAAGCCGTGTGTTGTACATGGGTGGGGGAAATAAATATGTAGGGCTTATTCCATTTGCAGATAAAATAAAAAAAGATTGTTGCTGCTGTCATTTGTTTGGCACATTTCTGAAGAGCCGAATCTTAAGTTGTACTATTTATCTGTGCCAACTGTTTGTCTGGTTGTTCTAACCCTCCATCTGACTGCTCCCACCGACTGCCAAACATGCTGTGATCTATCGCTTGCAGTTGATGAAGGCTGCCACTGCTGCCGCAGCCATTTGATCATATATCAGCATATCTTCACTTAGATATGCCTGAGAAATGCTTTAACTGGGTTACAATGCCTACACATGGAGGTTGATAAAATACTCGCTGCATGACAGTATATGGTAAATTGCTCAACCAAGAGGTGTTTGGCCATTTATCGGAATAAGACTGATCACAGACAATTCATCATTTTAGGCTTGAATGGGGAAGAGAAAGAGGAATGTTGTTGTCATTCACTGCGCTGGCTGCTTGAATGCTACTCCTCTCCACAGGAGGATGTAAGTTTAATTATAGTGCGGTAACTATACCATCACATTTAATGCTTTACACAAGGTAACTGTTGGGAACTTCAGTGCCCCACAACATGTCATCTCTTGTATTTTTCCATGTCAGTGCCCCTTGTGTCTACACTGTGTGTGTGGGGTGCAGACCTCTCTTTAGCGAGGGGATGAAGCCAGGCATCTTTCCAAAACTCAAGCCCTCCCCAACCCGTTCTACTGGGTATAAGCACTGCTTTGTGCCACAGTACTGCTCCCTATGGTTCTTATTCATATACTACTACAACAGCACTGGCTCCACCAGATACTGGGATCTACAATTAGAAGTGTACCAAAAATAGCCTGCTGTTTGACAGACACATTTGGATGTTGCTCATTTAGTAAATCTTTTGGATTATTACACCAGAGGCAAAATCCGATTTTTTCATAGCTGTAAGATAGTTTGTATTGAAGTGCCTTTTTCTGCCTGGAATGTGGCTGCGGCATTTGTTGGCTTAGGCTTTGCAATCGCGAGGGGTATTGGAGAGTAGGAGCAGTGTAAATACATTTCAAACAGCACAGCACAACCGAGTATTAGCAAATGATCCGATAGCATCAGTAATCCTCGGGAAAACCTGGAGAGTTTTTTTTCCAATAGTGTTAGCCTCCATCAGATAGTTGGCAGGCACTGGGGGTGTCCACATGTGTGACTGGCTGGCTAGGCTAGCGGTGCGGCTGAATGCTACAGTATGCAGGCAGATCAGATTACTGAACGATTAGCCATGGCCTCCTATCCCTGGCCCAGGGAAATGATTTTCCACTGTCATAATTCCCTAGACTGAATTACGCAGGCCAGTGACTCAGATATACTCAATACAACAGGCCCTGAGTACTGCTCTGCATAACTGTTGCTCTCTGGAGAGAGGAGATAGGTTAAGAGTTGTTGTACCAATCATGCACTAGAGGGCAAAATAGTTTTCCAATTTGGTTTTCCATTAGAGCTCTTGTGCTTGTTCTCAAGCATCAAGTGTAGCATAGGGTTAACGACGTTCATTGAGATGTTTACCCTTTGGTAGGGACTTTGACGTGAAGGAGGCAACAGACAGCTGGAAAACAGTCCCAGATCTCTAACTGTCCATCACATGTCCTGCTTTTGTGAGACGTACGTCAAAAATGTGAACACATGTCTGATGGGCGATGAAGCGGTGTAAATCAAACAGGCCTCTAGTGGAATTTTGCTGAATGGAAAGATAGACGAAGACAGGGGGAGAGGCTAGCTGGTGGAGGTAGGACCATGTTTCCAAGGTGCCTTCCCCCTGAGGCAGGAATCCGATACATTCCAGAGGCTCCTGTATCCAGACGAATAATGGTGACTAGGGTCAGGGTGTAGCATTTCATCAGATGACACATGATTGGAGTGCATATACTGGGAAAAGTAAGTGCTATGTCATGGGCTCAGAGGTAGCTAACTTTCCTAAGGGATTGTGAAGTATGCCAGAAGAACAGGAGGTTATGCGAGATATGGATTTATCTTCGCATGGTTTTTATATCTCTTCTAGCTGTCACCGCCCACTTGCCACCGTTTAGATATAGACATTGACATCACTTTAAGGTTTTAAGCATTCAGGGGACACTGATCCAGAGCAAGTTACATTGGATGGCAACATAGGAAAAACACTCAATATTTGTTGGTACATTATACCCTGTTGTATTCTGATTAAGCCCACAGTGGCAGTTTAACTGGAGCTTAAATTACTTCTGACAAAAAAACAAAAACACATTAGATCCTGCTGGGCCACTCTCTAGACAAGTTATGACATGATCTGGTTTTTTCTTGGTCCATTACTTAGTGTGACATTGCTCTTCATGTAAGGCTTTAAAATGTCACCTTGGTTTAGATGAATATCTAATATGACAGTACCAGGATCCCAATCTTATTTTCTTCTTAGAACCAAGTCTTTAAACCCGAAAATGTGCGCTTGCGGGCTCCTGAGCTAAAGGCTATTTATACTGCAGACACAGAAAAATACCCTGTTTTATTTAGTGGTCAAAAACAAGCTGTCGGGTGCTAATGGACTTCACCTCAGCCATTCCGGAGGACCCTCGGGGTACAGCGTGCTCATACACTCGGCAAGGGAGCTCTCTGCTCTGGCCTGTTAATGAAGCCATTTTCCGAGATGGAGAGATGCAGTAATGGGAACGCACCACTTCACTGCGGGATATTCTAACACTGTCCTCATCATAAGTGCTATCAGTCATCGGATACGATTATAATTTTTTTCTTTTGTCCATCTAGCCATTCTGAATGCACTTTTTCAGACATGTGTGGACTTAGAACTACATTGTGTATTATTTCTTTTGAGACACTTAGAGCATTGGGGTCAAGGTTTTGTACTATTACAAGGAGAACTGGATATCTGTGATAAAGACTGCTCTGTGTAAAGTTTACCGTCAGCCTGTTTGAACGTTAGGCATTAACATTGGACCTATGACTTGGTGCTAAAAGCTCACTGATGTGAGCACGGAGGGCAGACAGGTGGAGGGTGGGGGGGCTCTGTATGTTTACCCAGTTGTCTGGTGGCCTCACCGGCTCTGGCTGCACCACAAAAACCACACACAAACTCTCACCTACTTTAGAGCCGACGTGTGTGTACGTCCATACTCACGCATGCTTCAAGTTGTTTACCATGCATCTAGTATATTAGTGGATACTGTAAACAGTTTAAAAGATTTCTATTGAAGAACAGGCTTGATTAAGTCAGTCCTCTAAGTCTATTATTTAAACTGATATTTGAAGACATAAAAAAAAAACAATACTAAACTTTCATCATGTTATTGTACATTTTGAATACTACCTTCACCTTACTTTAAACATTTACTAACAAGCATATATAATTTAAAATAATATGTATAAAGTGCACAGTTGTATATCTGATGAACGTATACAGTATATCCAGGGCTGGGCCAAAGTGGCTACTAGCATCTATCCCAATGTAGGTTGTTTCATATCTCGGTAAAAATATATTTCACACGATAGCATGGTTACTGGTTATTCAATAAATAAACATAGGAAATAACCACATTGTGAAGCT